CTTGATTCACAACTTGGGTGTTTGCTTCAGCACACATGCTGGGCTCTGACACTCACAAAAGAGAAAATGGTTTTGTGTCTAAAACCATTTCAACCATCGCATCCGATTTCAACACCTATCTATTTTAGGGCCTCTGTGGCCTCCTGGATATCTATCCCCAATGGCTACTAGACAATTCTTGATTGTAACCAACTTCAAGTACATTTGCTATCGTTTCGAACCTACCAATATTAAATTGGAACGTGCTGATTTAACTTAGACACTGCTCCATTGCTAGCTGGAACCCACCCATGACATGAGTTAACACTAAAAGGCCACCTTAGCATCTCCCAGCCATGCTGTCACCACTTTGAATCCTCCAACCAACCAAGCCAAGCCGGTGGCTCACCCTCAAGGTCATTGTTCTTCACGAATGGCGAGCAACAAAGGACACATCCAACTGGTGACCACACAGCTACCCCAAGAAGTTGCAGCTAGAGAGTAGACACAAGGCTATGCAAATTGATGGTTGCACAAGGTTGAATTCTGCTTTTTGTATTTTTGTATGTGATTCAGACGCTTAGTAGACTGTCAAGGAAAGCATGCAACCATGAGGTCCATGGGCCAATTGATGTGTGACTGGCAGCTACCAGCTAGGGCACAGAAAAAAGGAGTGGAGCTAACTGAAAACTTTGAAGATCAGATATCAGAGATTCATAAGCAGACACTGACGGCCATGCCATCTGAGCGTGCCCTTTGTTAGGCTGTCATGTTCCACGAAGGCCTTGTGGCTGTGTTGTAATCTAGGTTTTCACCTGGTTTCCCTCTAATTAACCGGGCAATTCTCTTCTAACTAATGAAAATTACGAATATTTGCTTCGTTTAAAAAAAAGTTAGTAAATGCTGACAGTGGACAAAAGCTGATGCATATAATGTGAATTATCATGGTGAGGAAGATAGTCACAAACCTGTCGATGGTATGTGGTTGCAGACTCGAGAAATGTTCCATACACATGAACTGCTCTTTTAGTATAAGGCTTAAGAGTACTCCTAACTTTCTCAACATGTGGCTTCGTGACCTCAGCAACTTGATCAATGTAAGGTTTAGAGATCTTCTTAGCTTCCTAAATCAACAATAAGCAAACTACACATCAATAATTGCATATAACAAACTACCGTAATAATAGTAATTACCATAACCAACCAACAGTACCTGGAAGTAGGGATCAGAAACTTCTTTAAATTTTACAAAGTGGGGTATAATAGCATCCCTGGATGCTTCATAAACTTCCACTGATTTTGCCGACGCCTTCTCCACGTAAGGTTCTGCGTTTTTCTTTAGCACAGCCAGTTTCTCCTTAACAGGAACCAATTTCTTCAAGCGCAAGAATATATTTTGTCAGTGCAAGATAACGAAATACTGAAGGAGTAAAATGCATTGATCCAATGACATTACCAGCTTCGCGGTCTCGATATGTGGTTCAGCCCATTTCTTTGCGTGTGCTGATTTTTCTGATGCCTGAAGCAATTTGATAAGACATGTATAAATGATGACTTCATTCAAGCACTACACCTTGAAATTTGAAATTAAAAAGAACTTAAGAGGTACCTTCTGCAAAAAGCTGTCCATGGCAGGTTTTCCATGCTCATTCCAGTGACCTGAGACCACCTCCTACACAAAATGATGATGGAACTGATGAGGTGAGTAAAAAACAAATGACGGAGGTGCATATTTTGTGGTTCCATCTTACCAAATATTGGGCAGTATGTGTCACCAACCAAGGTGGCAGCCATGCTCCATGTACCTAAGAGAAAGGACAAACCATCATACATTTGTTTCTTGTGCACACAATCAGAAAAGATGCCATCTAACTTTAGAATCATCCCCAGAGGATAACTTTATGGTATTAGAATTGTGATACATACAATTCCTACTTAGTGTAGAAAAACTGTAACTACTCCCTCCATCCATAAT